CACGTGGTGTATCTCGGCCGATATCTCACGGTTAGATGTAGCATTCGTTAGTATGCTCGGTAGCGGAATACCCATAGCGCGCTATGTCTATTCGCGCTATGTCGTCGCCCATAATTTATCGCTACTGGGTCGACACGGATGTTTCGAATTATTTGGCGGATAGGACGTCGCGTGCACACGTAGCCGCGATTCCGTCCCGTTTTTTCTTTTTGTATGTTGATTCAGAGGGAGAAAGGATACGGCCGCGAAAGAAAGAACGGAGGAGTGTGCGTCTCGCAAAGGAGAGAGACAGACAGGTCACCGACCGGTTGCCGATGACAATTCCGACGACATACACACACACACACACACACACAACGGGGCTGGCAGGTATTCCTGCATTATTAGCGGATCTAGGTCAACGATGCAGGTTCACTAAACCACAAAGCAAACAAAATTATCTTTATTTTCGCTTAGGTCGGAACAGGGCCTTAAACTATATCTTGTTGATCGCCTAATCCATTTCAACTGTGTAATCTCAAAAATAACAGTTTCTGCTTTTACTAGCATTCATATACCTGTAATTACTTCGTCAAAATAATATTTTAACGGTTTAAAGATATGAGATGTATTTAAAACCCAAAGGGTTTTGCGCAATATTTGTTACATATTTGATTTCTGTGCTTTTGTACGTGTCGTGCTTTCTTTGTACGCATTTCTTCACGCAGTAGAAATTATCGCATTAATTATTTTGTATTAATTGCGTATTAATTAATTATTTTGTCACAAATCGTAAAAACAAATTTTCAACAGCATTCGACAAATGGCGAGATATAACCGCGCCTGTACGTCGATTAGCGATCTGAAAACGGTTCGTGCGGTCGTGCATTATACGTGGGACGAGTTCCAAGGTAACATGGGAGCTCGCGCGCGCGCGCGCGATTCGTGCGTCCATTGAAATTCCCTCCGATCTTGCGGGACCGAGTAGCCGATTTTTATCGAGTACACGGCTGGTTACCAGACAGAACTCATAAACCGCATATCGGGGAACGGTCAGACGCGCGCTGAATAAAATCCGCTCACGATCAAACGGACACATTCGCGATATTTCGATAAACCGGACGAGAGAGAAACCGTTCGAAAAGACGAAGAAACAAAACTGTCGATAAATAAAGCGTCGAAAAGAAATAGACGACTGTTTCTCGTAATAATATCTAATGACGATCGAATGCATCGGAGGTAGAAATTTCTGTTACATATCCGCGATAGCGTAACAACCGATAGAGCACGACTCTCATACGTGACGCTTGAAGTTGCACCGTGTATGACACACGTCGCGCGAAATAACACACAAGACGCGGATAATTTATCAGTTACAATAGTTACATCACACTCAAGTGGCGCGACTTTTAAATATCCAAAACTTTGTCGATAACGCGGGTTAAGTATATTATTCCGATCTGAAAATCGAATTTCCAGATTATATTTTCGCACGTTCCCATTTCGTCTTTCGTTCGGAGGAGCGCGCAGGTCAACGTCCCAGAATTTCGATCGATTCGCCAAAGCTTCGCTAAATTCAGCAAAAGCGTCTGATTTCTACGGTATTGTCCTACGTGACCGAGGAATTGATGTGTTCGATTGAATCCGCGAGCTCATTTCACGCGCTGTAGGAGCGAGTCGATGTAATGTAACGTACTCGGTGATTTTGTGCACTCTTTGCTTGTAAAACGCGCGACGCGTACTTTTATAAACGATAGACCGGCGCAGCATCTCTCTCTCTCTTTCTTTCTCTCGTTCTTTTTTATCGAATACAACGTTCTATATCGGGATACGATTATCGGCTCAATACGCTTGACGATCGATCGCTTTGAGAGCGTCACGTGAAGCGTCGTCATTCAAAGTCCGGCGACGACGACGGTCTCCGACACGCGCCTCGTCCTTTTGAAACTTATTGTAGCGTGCGCTCGTGACGAATACATCGCCCCACGAACGTAAACCGTTTCGCCTTTATTTTCATTTTTACCGTTTCGCACGAACATATCTACGCGATTCAAATGCTCGGTCAAGCAAAGGCTTAAAATGGATCCATTTAACATTTTCAAGCTTTTAATTGGACAAATTTAAGATATAAAATAAAATTTTTTTATACTAAGAGATAATTTCAATAACTGTTTAGCGAATGTTGCACTCGTCAAAAATTGTGCAAATCAAATAGCAGCACTAAACAATTTAAAAAAAAAAACTGCATCTAGAAGAGATGCGCGTGTTTAAATCTGAGTGAATAGAATCCGAATAAAAAAGCGGCAAAGATGCGAGTAACAGTACCAATGCATTAAGGAAATAGCGAATGTCGCGTACCAAGAAGTTGCGCGCGACGTCGCAGTGCTGGTTGTGCTTGATCGCAAAATAATCATCTAGCGGCTTAAGGATGGCTTTAATGTCTACGTGGATCAACAAACTTCAGATGTTCTCTTCTCGGTTATTGCCCTTCCTTCTATCGCATGTCTAGTCTTATTATTTACACTCCACGTTTCATTTTCGTCATTCTGCCTAATAAGCGCACAAACATAGCGCACGCAAGAAAGAATTGACCGTACTAATTAACGTTCGATAATGAATATTACTCACTTGAATACGTTTACCGGATACTTTTATTTTATCTGCAAATGTGTGCTAGTTTCAAGTTTTTTTGCGAAAAATTCATCTTGTGTAGCTCATTGTTGTTTAACTTTTTATAACTTATTTAATAAATTAGTGAAAAACTTGAAATAAAAAGATAACGTTACAGCTGAAGATTAATTATATTGAAAAAGGCATGTTTTTTTTTTCTCAACAGGAAATGTAACAATTCTCTTTACTACAAATGATGCACAATTCTTGCGCAACGATTTAATCGGGAAATGATAAAAGCGGTGAGATAAAGTCGTGAGAAAAACGTTTCTTTTGACATTTGCGCGGATACGCTATGTGGTACGTACTCTTCTACCAACTATCGCGATTTAAGTACGCAACATCACACGTTGCGTGGATCGCAACGTTATTACGGGTCGATATGCGGAGTTAACTGTTCATTGGAAACTTCGCGTTTCCGCTGAAAGGCGATTTAATATATCACGCCCGTTGATCGTTACGCGATAGGCGAGCTATCGGACGCACGTCGACCGTGACGGATTCGCGTCCGCTTTTTTTTCTTTTTTTTTTTTTGCAAGAAGCAAGAAGATTACTTGGCGCGCCGAACGAGATCTCGGCGCGCCAAGTCAGGAAAATAGCAACAATCGACCGCGAACGTAACAGCAACAGCGGTTGCACGTGCTCGAACGAGGCGCCGCGTCATGCAGAAATTTCAAATCGTCGTCGTCGTCGCCGTCGTCGTCGTCGTCGTCGTCGCCGTGATCGTCATCATCGTTGCCGCTATGGCTTTCCACCATGAGATTGAGAAGAGGATTCGATCCGCCGCAGGAATGTCCCGTTCATGCGCGTGTTTCTTTTTCTTTCTCTTTCTCTCTGTCTCTCTTTCTTTCTGTCATCATGTTGGAAAGAAGAAACGCTAGTTCACCACGATAGTTACAAAAGAGGCCCCCATAGATTCCTCTGGTTTACATTTTCCGTCTCTACCATGTGTGTCGCAACGAGCCTGCGGTTCTATTATTCGATCTTCGGTATTTCTTATGACTCATTATGTGGGACCGCGCGCGCGGTCTGTTTTAAATTCTTTCCGAATATATGTAACTGTCTTTTCAAATATCAATATAATTTCTCGGTTGCCGATCTTTTTCTCGCGCGATGATGCGCGACAAGAAATTGCGTTTGCTCGTTTCCGACAGACTTCGTCTCCGCAACTTCTCGGATTTATTTCACGCAGTTTTTTTTAGAGATTTTTATGATTTTTATTTTTATGCAAAAATCGCAATCATCTTTAAAATACTCTTAACGAAATAAATAATAATGTCTGAAACGCGTGATTTTGCTCTCTCGTGTGACGCGAATGCTACAACCTTTCGGATATATTCGCGAATAATCAAGATCCTGCGAATTGGAACGCAGACCCCTCCTTGGTATTCACGCATCGACAATGTTTGGCTCGGTATTCAGACACTGTTTCTTAATTGTACGAGGTGTTCGTACACGTCTGACTATCTTTCACAAGTGCTGCAAGTTGACACGCATACTTATTACATGCCGCCTTGAATTTATTTAGCCACCACCGGTACTCTTTGACTCGGTTCATTTTTTGCGCAAATTATAGAAACAAAAAAATGATTTCTGTGCCCATCGTTCTCTCATTGCCTCCTATAATTTGTCTTTAATTTATCGAGAAATCTGAACTAGCCAGTTCAATCGAACGATTTAATATCAGTTTAATTATACAACAAAGAAGTAAAAAATATCAAACATTTCAAACAGGTAAAGTGCATTTGTTTTACTAAAGAAATATATTATCTAATATGTTATCTAATTTCTCTTAAAATGTTCTACGTGTTTTTTTTTTAAGTAAATAAAGCGCACGTGATAAATGAGATATTATCATCCAACGACACAGAGTGTGGAAATCTTCTGCGTGCAGAAAAGTTATACTTCACTATTACTTCTCTCTCAAAACTACGAAAACGAGCGGAATATATCCGATTTGCCGTATATATGAATTTCTAAGTTATCCCTTCACATCTCTCCGGATCACTTTAGGATCGGCGTTGTTTCTTTGATGGTGCACATCATCACAGTCCATAAAATTCACGACGACTACGAGACGACAACGACGACGACGACGACGACGACGATGACGACGACGACGACGACGACGACGACGACGACGACGACGACGACGACGACAACGACGACGACAACAACGATGATGATCAGAAAATCGTGGCGCATCACAGCCGCGTGCAACCGAATCACTGATCTCTTGATCACTCAGGTGTCTCTGAGAGAGGTGCGATCAACCCTCTTGTCACTTTGTCCACCCCTCAGCAACCGGTTGAAGAGTGAACCGGCACTAAATACTCATCACGATCACTTACCTATCCAGCACGGTCGTCGACGACGGACGACCCTGACGGCTCGATGCGGCGACGTGGTCCCCTCTCGGTGCACGATCGACAATTTATTTTGTTATTTCCAACCGAAATCAGACGCGAATTTTTTGTCGTTTTATTACGCGCTCGTGTTCCGGAGCCGCGATGCGACGATCGTCTTTCGAAGGGAACACGAGCTCTTCTTTCGCACCCTCGGACGAGCGTGTGCGAGCGTAGAGCTTTTACTCTCTTTCTCTCTTGCTCTCTTTAGCTGGCCCCTCAAAATCACCGCAACACCACACCGAACAGAAGTGAACTACTCGTGCGCCGCCGGTTCACGGTACCTTAAATACCTTGGCAGCCGCGCCGCCGCCACCGCC